TCAGGCAAATGCCCACCTGGAGAAGCTGCACTTGTGGATCCGAGTTCTGAATCGAGACCCGAAGCTGGCCCGCCTTTCCTAGGGTCGAGAGGCCCCGCGAAGCGATCGACGCGACCGAGGCGCCGCGCGTGACATACGAGGAGTATAGGTTCTGGGCCGACCGTGGCCTTCGAGCGACATTGGGCCCCTTAAAAAGCGCCCCAGACGCAGAGCACCCCCAGCTTGGAGTGCATCCGCGGAAGTTTTCCTCGTGGCAGACGAGTCTAGCTATGTTTCGCGAGCTGGTGAGCCTCGTCTTGGACTTGGCGCCGAACGCGCGGGCGAGTTCCGCCCCTCTCAGGCATATGCCCACTTGGAGATACTGCACTGGTGGATCCGAGTTCTGAATCGAAGCCCGGAGCTGGCCAGCTTTTCTCTGACGCCGAATGGGAGCGTGGTTTGGGGGGGAAGCGGCTCGCTCATGTCGTCTGTCTGTGCTGGGGGGCTTCCGCGGGGCCGCGATTCGACGGGGCCTACGCAACCGGCCTCGAGATTGGCCGGTTGGATTCCATGGCTCTCCGCCCGCTCGGCGTCGCGAAGACGCCCTTGCTGCGCGGGCGCGCGCGGGGCGCCGAGTTTGGATGCGCAAGCTAGCTCACCTCAGTGACCTTCACGATGCGTCGGACGCCTTCGCCTCCAACGCCCCCGATGCCCGGCGCCGCGCAAGTCGCGGCCTCGCCCTCCCCCGAGATCAGGCGCCCCCCGGACATCGGGCGGCGCGTGCTTCTATAGTCCGAGGCTTTCCCGGGGGGGGGGGGGGGCGCGAGCCGTGGGAGAGCGCCCGAAACTTAGTTCTACGACACGAGTGTGGTGAGCTGATGGGATTGGGCGAGGAGCCGATCATTTTTGTTAAGATTACGCAGCGCCCTTTCCCCACGCTTGGAAAGCTGCTCGCCCAATTGAACAGCTGATCGAGCAAAGGCGCGGCATCTTCCCGCGCGCGCTCGACGGCGGCGCGAGTTCACTTCCGGATGATTCGGATATGAGATAATTATTGATTCGCAGTGGCGAGGCGAGCGAGGCCCACCTTCTCGCGCTGCAGAGCGACGCGTACCTGGAGACCGAGCTGAGCCAGGTAGGACTATTCCAGAATAAGTCAACGCGCGAGACTGCCCCTAGCTCCCATCGGCCCCATGCGAGGTTTCAGGGTCTGACGAAGGAGGGGGGGATTCCAGTGGGCTCGCTAGATTGGAAGTACGTTATGCATGGACTCTAGCCACGATGGGGGAGCTACACTATAGGTGCTCAGCGATGAAAGCGGGGTGGTCTACGGTGGGGGGCCACTGGGGTGGCCGAGGATCTAGCAAGCTGATGCCCCGGGCCTTCAAGGGACATGTTTTCGAAGGTTGTTTATCAGCGAAGAAGGCCCACTTTTTCTTGCAAACAATGATTATCCAGGTGGGCGCCATCGCTGCTAAATATCATCGAGCCCTGGAGCGAGGCGCGGCCGCCGACTGGACGGGCCCACATCCTCAGAGCCTCTCTCATGCAACTCTTCGGCGTAGGTGGGAGGTGGCTCCTTCTAGGTGTGCACGAGCCTCCCGGAGGTTCGCCTGGGCCAAGAAGATGGCCCAGGACCCGAAGTCACGCGCCCAAGTCATCGCGGCCTTCTGGGGAACCCTGAATGATGGACCTTCCGCCCTGGGCCCCCAAGGGCGCCTCGCACGGGGCGCCCCTCCTCTGGCGCGCCAAGTAGACACCGACGTGCGGATGCGCTCTGGCATCGGCGGCGCGGGAGTTTGTTTTCCGGGCGATGGCAGGGGCGCGGTTGCTCGTGCACTGCTCTGTTCGATGTCAACGAGGCGCGAGTAGCGCGGCTTCGAGTCGACCCGTCGACTTTCAAGGCCGCCATCTTTTCAATTTTTCCACCGTCTTTCAAGGTCGACAGATGGCGAGAAGCATCTTTCCCAGGCGCTGCGAGGACCTGCGCGCGCTGCGGCGCCTCCGACCGAAGAAGAGTTGACCGCGTTCGCGCGCGCCCTCTGGGACGAGATCGGGGCCCTCTGTTGCCGGCCTTTCTCCGCCCACGGGGCCCTGGCGGCGCGCGCGTTCCAGCCCCGTGGGGGCGAGCGCGGGAGACGAAATCCGTATTGGACTTGGGTCGCATGCAGTCGCAGTGCCCAGGCGGTCGCTTGACCTTCTCGACCAGAGACTGCGCTCGGCAACGCGTTCGACCAGCGCGGGGTAGTCTCATGCGCCGCGGCGGCGTTCTCGACCCCCCCGGCCCTTGAACGCGCCGACCGAGATTCAGCGCGCACCTAGCGACGAAACCTTCGAAACCATGGGCGGATATAATGATCATGTCGTACAGCGGCATATGCTTCGCCCCTCGCCTGAGGCCGTTCTTCCCCGGGCCGTTTCGGGCGCGCCTGCTGTCGACGCCCCCCTGCCCTTTTGCGCGCTCGATTCCGTTCGGCGGCGACGCGACGCTCGGTGCCCCGGACTCGGCGGAGGGGCCGGGGCGGCGGCGCCGGCCGAGGGCGAAGGCCCAGGTCGCCTTGGTTTCCGCGAGAAGGCCCGTGGCGAGGGCACAGCAAAGAAGGCGGACTTGGGCATGGCGGGATGTACGAAGACGCCCCAGTACTGATCATCAAATTTCTGTTGCAGCTGGGACAGTCGAAGCGGAACCTCGAAGGGGTCGTTTTCGATTGCGTCTTGATCGGGGCCACCGGCCACGAGGCGACGGAGATGAGCGAGATGGGCACCTTGCATTCCTCGGCGGCGGCGGCGGCGGGGCGCGGACACGCGCGCGGCCCCTCGCACGCGGGTCCATGGAGGCCCGCCGACGGGCCCGACGGGGTGCATCGAAACACCTGGGGCAGCCAGCTCGAAGAAGTTAGCCGAGCTTCGCCGCCAACTCGAACAGATGATGACGCAGCGCAAGTGCGACTTGATCAAGTTGTGCACAACGGACAGATGCTGCGACCAGGACAAGAAGAAGCTGCCCCTCCGTCTCGACGGGGAGATCAGGACCCTCATCCTCGACCTGCATGGCCCGGGCGGGCGCGGAGACGAAGCGGGGCAGGGCGCCGCCGACGCGCGTGGAGCGGGGGCTGCAGGAGTGGGTCGAGGCGATCGCCGACATGCGAGTGCAGATAGTGGACCCGCTCGAGACGTTCCCCATGGCTTCTGCTGATAGGGCGTGGCGCGACTCGTCTCCAGACGCCTGGCAGTGCGAGTGCTGATAGCGCGACTCGAGACGCCCCCAGGACTGCGAGTGCTGATGGCGTGAGTGGGGGCGTGACGCGCGCTGCTGGAATTTCCCCGGGCAGCGGGCGGGTCTTGCGATCATTCCCTGCACTTCCCACCACGTCCATCTCTACGAGGCCAGCGAGGTTGATCAATCATCATCTCGGCCCCGGGATCTACATGGAGGCCCGCGCCCTCGAAGCCTGCGGCCCCTCCTCTCCCCCCCGTGCTGCCGCGACGCCTTCTGCGCCGACGGCGGCGACTCCTTCCCGACCGATTGCCGCCGGAACGGCTGCGAGGCCCGCCAGTTCAATGGCGGCGATCCTTTCCAACCCGACTGCTGCCAGTGCTGCTGCGAGGCCCACTGGACCGATGGCGGCGGCTCGTTCGGCCCCGATTGCGACCTTCACGGCTACGAGGCCCGCGGGGTCGATGGCGGCGGCTCCTGCTCCTCCGACTCCCCCAGCGCGGCCTCGAGGCCTTCGGGTGCGACGGCGGCGCTCCCCTCCTCCTCCACTGCCCCCGGGATTTCGATGGGGCCCCCCGGTCCGACGGCGGCGGCCCCCCCTCTCGACGTTTTCCCGCAGGCCCCAAACGCGAAGCCCCAAGCATGGACTCTCGACGGGTAACTTTCAGGAGGGAAAGAAACACACAGACACAATTAATCGTCGACTCCCAGGAAAATATGCAAAAGTATGGGAAGTGGTGGGGAAGACAAAAACCCAGAAAATATGGGAAAATACGGGGGATATTTTTATTTGTGTGTATTTATTTGTGTGTTCCAGTTCCCCTTCAAACTTCTGGGACAAAGTTCATCCTGCCAAATCGTTTGGAGATCATACGGGCTCCTTGTCCTGGAGGGGGCGTTTTGCCTGCATGTGTGCCGCGTGCCCGCGCCGGCCGGGCATGGTCCCGGGCCGTGCTGGCAAGAAGGGTGGTCTGCGGGATGGGGTTCTGCCCAGCGCCGGAAAAGATAGTCAGAGCCCCGAATCATCAGGGGTACTCGGGTCAGGGCTAACTCGGGATCGTTTTTCGGGAGTCCGAACCCGAGTTATCCCGGACCCGAGTTACCCCGGATAACTTGGGCGTCCAGAGCCCCGAATCATCAGGGGTAATTCGGGTCAGGGCTAACTCGGGTTCGTTTTTCGGGAATCCAAACCCGAGTTACCCCGGACCCGAGTTACCCCGGATAACTCGGGCGCCCAAGATAGCGGACAGGCGCGCGTCTGATCCCCCCCCCCGCTGTTCGGATGCAGCTCCTGGGAGGTCAAAGTCTGACGTCGCCCTGGTCCGACATCTGTCCTAATCCGTCAGTATCATTCATCCCACCCCCATCCCCACCCCCATCCCCTTCGAGACCCCCACCAAACTACCCCCCCCAGTTGGGGATACACCCTTCGAAACCCGAAGGGAACGACCTATATCCCCATCTAGGGGGGTGAATCGGCCAATGGGGCCCAGGCCACGCCGCTGGGGATGGGGATTGGTTGAGCGAGATTCAATCCGTCTTTCCCCAGTTTTATCCGGCCTGATCCTGCTCAATCCAGCTTCCATCCCGCTTCACCCGCGGCCCACTCCGGGCGCAACAGCCCCGCAGTGGGGCTCAATCCTCCTTAATCCTTCCGGCGAAGACCTCCTGGCAGTGGCCTCCTGACCTCCCGAGGAGGAGGAGGAGGCGGAAGAGGAGGATCCTCGAAGGAGGACGAGGAGGAAAAGGATGGGGAGGAGGAGGAGGAAGAGGACGAGGAGGAGGAGGAGGCGGAGGAGGAAGCAGAGGATTGGCCCCCGTTCACGAACGCCCTGCCGCCGACGTTGACCTCGGTGCCCTGCGGCGGCTGCAGTTCATCGCCGCGGAGTGCCCGGCGAACCGGGAGCGGTGGGGCCCAGAGCGCGCCGCGCGCATCGCCGCCGCGATCCGCGCGGAGCCGCTCGATTGGTTTCTCGCGCTGTCAGAGGAGGCAAAGGACCATAGGAGTTCGGTATCGGGCCGGACGAAAAGGGGGGATAGGGAAAGGTCGCGGGTGGACAGATCTCCTACCCTGACACATGGATTAAGGAATTGGCCGTTTTCGGTTCGCGAGAGGGCGTCGCGGCCGTCATTTTTGCGGGTCCAGGTCTGTCGGTTTCGGTCCCAGGCCGATGTCACTAAGGGGAGGTTTACTAAAGGGAGGTTTGTCCACCGCCGAAAAGGGGGGGTTATTACGAAGTTTGCTGCACGCAGCTGGTTTCGGCCCCACCGAGGGGCCCATTCCTCGATGCATGGCCGCCTCCGGCGCCGGGAGGCGCTGGGAAAAGCAGCTACGTGAGCTGATTCTCGAACCCCTCCTTTGCTATCCCCCCCTTTCGCCCAGCTCGACGGTAGCAAATCGTGCGGGCCTGGTATACCTTCGTGATTCCGTCGACCAGCGTCGACTAGCGTTTGGGAGTCGATGCGATGGCGCCGCTTTAGCGTCGGCTAGCGTCGGTTAGCGTCGATCTAGCGTCGATTAGCGGACCTTTAGCGTCGACTAGCGTCGATTCGCAGGAGCCGGCACAATTATATGGGAGGATCCCATGAGTTGCCACCGAAAGGTACCCATACCACTGCTTTTTGGCCGTTGTCCCCTTTTTGGACCTCCTGGGGGGCCCTCGTCGCCATCGCTGGATTCGCTTCGAGATTCCCAGGAGAGGTCCAGGGGTATGAACTTATCAAAGCCTCCGAAGTCTTTGATGGCAACAAGGATGAAAAGCCAGAAGGACATCTGATGATATCTTCACACCGTTGGCGCGCTCGACTCAAGGGCCCTAAAGGGTTTTCTGGCCAAAACGTAACAGCACGCTCGCTATGCGACATGCTCTGCGCAAAAACACAAGATGTACAGCGTACACCCTAGGCGATGCTTAAGAAAACCTAAGTTTTCGGCCAGAGGCTCGATTATTCTTAATGTTTCAATGTAAATCCTAAGATTGTCATAGAAATGTTGGGCTTTAGTTCAAGTTCTGAGACGATGAATTTCTTAACCCATGATTTCTTAAGCATTTCGCAGGGTGTATATCTCACAAGGGGGTAGCGGCATCGGTACTTCTCGGTCTCCCCGGAAAGGACGCGGTTCCTGCCGTGGATGCCACAGACTCGGCTGCGCGTAAAGGTGAGCTTTTCCTTCTTTTTCGCCGTAGCCTGTGGGGAGACCCTCGTCGCCACGGCTGGATTCGCCTCGAGATTCTGATCAGAACGCACCCCAGAACAGGTCCGTGGAGTGGCGGTGCCACTATATGCCCACCTGGGGCAGCGCACCCGGGAGGCTGCTCGCGCCCACGGTCGCTCCCCTGAGCGCGCAGCCGACGAGACGTGTGCCTCTGCGCCGACGTGAACTACCACCCCGACGCTCGCACGGCGCTGGCCCTGGCCCGCACGGTGTGGCGCAGCCGCGCCGACCGCGTGCTGCTGGCCCCCCACGGCGTGGCAACCGAGAGATGTCTTTGATGACGGCCCCTCCCCTGCCTAAGCTCTCGGCGGGCAGGAAATTTAAGCAGTGGCGAAGCGTCCCGGCTCGCCTATAGCCCCACCAAATAATGTTCTAAGAATTGTTTGTGGTTTCCAGGAAATGTTCTTGGAACATTTCTGGCGGAGTCTGTCATGTTTGATCACATCGGGCTTATGTTCTAAGAACACTGCTTTTTGTTATTAGAATATTTTTGGGTTCTAAGAACACTTTGTGGTAGGACTATGGCAATGCTGGGACGGTCGGTCCCTTCTCAAGACGTGGACAACCGAGAGATGTCTTCAAGGATGACCCCTCCCCTGCCTGAGCTCTCGGCGGGCAATAAGCTCGTCCTCTCCCTCGTCCCTCCCCTCCTCGCAGGGCGTGTCTTCAAGACCTGTTCGGGTTCCGCTCGCCGCCCGCGAGGTCTCCCGCGAGCACCGCGCCGGCTTTCTGGCTTTCGCGGGTGCGCTGAGGCGGCTGTTCGCCGCCTGCGTGGCGGACCGCGAGCCGATGGAGTGCGAGCGCAGGGGCAGCACTCGGCGGCGGCGTGCCCCTGGGGTGTGTGCAGAGCGACAGCAGGGACGCGAATATAGCTTAATCTGCGATTGATTATGGCTTCGTGGGCGCGAATCTTGTGTAAGAAGGGTTGATAGCTTTGGGGGCGCGACTATGGCGTAATTTGCTAAGGATCATGGCCTCCGGGACGCGAGCATCACGTTATTTTATGTGCTCCATGCCCCCCCAGGAGTTCGAGGCTCGAGGCCCCTGAGGTTTCTGGGGGCGGTCTCGTCCGCTCCCGCCGGCTGCCCAGCCTCGGGGTGCCCTCCAGCAGTCAGGAGGGAAAAAACACAGACACAACGAAGCGTCGATTCCCAGAGAAAATATGGGAAAAGATGGGAAGTGAGGGGAAAGACAAGAGCCCAGAAAATATTGGAAAATGTGGGGAATCCTGCTATTTGTGTGCATTTATTTGTGTGTCCCAGGGCCCCTTCAAGCAGCTGCGCCCCGCCGAGGGCGCTCTCCGGGGGTGCCCTGCCTGACACGCCGATTAGCGAATCGGCCGTTTTCGGTTCGCGAGTGGGCGTCGCGGCCGGCATTTTTGCGTGCCTGGGTCCGTCGGTTTCGGTCCCAGGCCGTTCTCATGAGAGGGAGGTTTGTCCACCGCCGAGATGGGGTCCCGAGGGAGGGGGGCCGAAGGACAGGGTGTTCCTCGAGGACAGAAGAGCCCCTTAGCCCTAACAACGGGATGACGACATGGCCTCACTGAGGTCCCCGTCTCTGCACTCGGGGTAACCGATCTGGGCGGTTTGGTTCGATGCATCTGCAGAAAAAGGCCCCCTTGATCCCTACTGTTTTTCGCCCTCCTAACGTCGTAAGTGCCCTCCCAAAGGGCTCGGGGTACTTTTTACGGCTTATCGCGAGGGGTGGGGGCCGAAGGACAGGAAGAGATCCAAGGGTGGGTTTACGTTGTCTGTGGCGCCTCGTCCTCAGGGCCCCACCCCTCGGGACCCCCTGCTTTGAGCCACCGAGCTCGAAGTGCACGAGAGGGCACGACGTTGTCATCGCAGAGCTGGTTCTACGCGTGAGCGCTAGTGAGCTCCAAACAGGCACGCACGGGAGCGGAATATGCACACCGCTCCCTCCGCCCTCTGGGGCGGTCTACCGGGGACGGGCTGAACACCTTTTGCTATTTCTCCCTCCCCCCCCTCTTCCTCCTCTTCCTCCTCCTCCTCGTCCTCCTCGTCCTCCTCGTCGTCCTCCTCGCCCTCCTCGTCCTCCTCCTCCTCGCCCTCCTCCTCCTCCTCCTCCTCCTCCTCCTCCTCCTCCTCCTCCTCCTCCTCCCTCCTCCTCCTCCTCCTCCTCCCCCCCTTTTCCTCCTCCTCCTCCTCCTCACCTCCTCCTCCTCCTCCCCTTCCTCCTCCTCCTCCTCCTCCTCCTCCTCCTCCTCCTCCTCCTCCTCCTCCTCCGCCTTCTCCACATCCTCCTCATCATCGCCCTCCAACCCCTGGATCAACCCCAAGCGGCCGCCTCCTACCAGGGGCCTCGAAACATGGGTTCTGTCGCGACGGGCTGTCACATCCCATATCGCAGGATCACCCAGCGTCTCCCACTGTCCTCGTGTCAGGAGCTCGAGCATTGGGCTCGGCAGATGTGGCGGGCCGGATTTCCCGATGAGAAGGGACATCGCCGATTCGATGTGTGCACAAACCCGTCCTGGAAAGACCCGTCATCGGGATCGCCAGTCCCGGGAACGCGGGGGGGGGCTTTCCAGGAGGGGCCAGCCGCGAACAGAAACAGTTGTAAGACAGCAGGCGCAAGGGAGCCGAAGCAGGTGCACGCGCGAAAGCGCGAACAAAAACACGACGTACGGTTTCTGCGCATTTTCGGCTTCTGGGGGCTCACCGGCCCCAGGACGGTCAGAAAAGATTTGGGATGTACGACCGCTCCCAGGGAAGGGGTCCAAACCTCTTTGAGGCCACGTTGTGAACAAAAACGCGATGGAGGATGTCTGGGTAGACACACCGATCCTGGCTAGGCCGATCCTGGGCCCAGGATCGGTGCATTTGCTTTCCTTCCCAAGCCAGAGGGCGTATGCATCGGTCTTCTGCCCAGGATGAGCCTGGCCAGAATCGTTGTAGGTGAATAGTTGGCGTCCTCCTACCCTGGGGCCCGTTTCGACCCGATCGATCGGGCTCGACATCGATTCAGGCCGCCCCGACCGGGTTCGATTCCGACGATGCGGCACGGCGCAGTCCGAGAGGCTCACGTGGCGGTGTCGTGCATCTTGGCGCAGCCGATCCGATCGACCCGTAGATTCGACGATTCGTAGATTCGACGACCAAAATCAATTGTGGTGGTACATCAATTTTGTAGTCGATCCCCTACTCGACAAAATGCCGAAGTCCCCCTACATGTTCGGAGGCATAGAGGTTGGCACCAACACCAGCATCAGCGGTTGCTTCCACCGAAGGAAGATTCTGCGGCGAAATCCGAACCATACCCTCGCCGATCAACGATTCAAGCAAGTCGATGGGCGGCGGGGGCCGAATCCGAACCCTACCCCTTCCTCCTATCGATTTATGAGAATCGAGTCTGGATATCGCCACCTGAAATATGAGCCCGATCTCGGTGATGGTGGTAATTTCTTAGCTTCTCAGTTGGCCGAGGCGGTATCCCTGTGTTTCGGGTCTCAAGGGCTGGGGGTCAATGCAAACGGGGTCAGTCAGAGCGCCGGATCTTGCAGGATCCTGCAACGCCAGGGCTGCATTGACCAAGCCTTGGGCGCAGGATCCTGCAGGATCTTGCAGGATCCTGCAGTGTCTGACTGACCCGGGTCTTGATTGATCCGTGTCAGTAGACCGAGGTGGGGGATATCCTCAACAGGAGGAATATTCAAGAATAGTTGAAATATAGTGTGGTGACGATTTTTTGGTACGTGCTTTGTTATTTTGTCTCTGTTTTGGCATCCTGGATCTTTCTTCCAAAATCTGCCTGTAGGAGGACATCTCCGACCTGACCAACAGTAGATCCCGAGGGTTCCGGTGCTGATCTCCAGGCCTCCAGCACCCCCCTACCCTGACCTTCAGGAGGGCTAAAAAATAGCACCCGACGTAAAAACCTATCCCAGAGCTATTTTACGTCTTGGTTTTAGGCTGTTTCGTCTCGTTTTTTAGGTTTTTAGGTTTCCAGTGCTAAAAAATAGCTCTCTGGAAGGTCAGGGTACGTGGCCCCCCTCGGGGGCGCCGTCGCCGAGCCGTCGGGGTCGCGGAGGAGGAGCGCCACAGCTTGTTCGCGTTCGAGGGCCGCCGGGAGGACGTGTGCTGGGAGGAGGAGAGGCTCCGGGGCGGCCTCACCGATTCCCAGCAGACCTTGCCCTTCGGTGGCGTCCTCCTCGCCTCGCCCCCAGACGGCGTGGGCGGCCAGAGGGGAGCCCGGAGGGCGAGGATGGCGCCACGGAGGAGGACGGTTTGCGGGGGCCAGGCGAGGCCGCGCCCGGGAGGCGGCACATAGAGGCGGCGCTGGGGGGCGCGTGAGTTCGCGCCCGCTCGGCGCAGGGGGAGGCGGGGCTGTGTCCCGGACCACTGCCGGGGGGGGGTCGATCTTCGGGGGCCGCGGCGGGCATTGGAGCTGGATGGATGATGGTCCCATGGGTCCCAAACGTATAACCCCAGGAAGCATTTAAGAACCCCCCCGGCGATATCGTAGCACCGCATTTTTTATTCGATATTCCGAGGGGCCGAAATAACCGAACGATAGCTGCAGCACCCGGACACAAAGGGGAGGGCTCCTGGTGCCAGGTAACGCTTCCAGGGTGCGGAAGGGTTATCGATTTGCCGGAGGGGGGGGGGTTCTTAAATACTTCCTGGGGTTATGTGTGTATACGTGTATGTCTGTATGTCTGTGTGTATGTGTGTATGTGTATACAGGTGTATACATACAGCTGTACGTGAGTATGTCTGTCTGCCGCTCTGTTTGTCTGCCTGTCTGCCTGTATGTGTGTATACATGTATCGGCGCACCGGGCTCGGGGGCCGAGGGCCGGAACCTCGACCGTGGGGACCGGGGGCCGGGCCCGCCTCTGGGAGGTCAAAGTCGCCCCAGGGAGCCCTCAGACAGCAATCCCGGCGGCCCCAGACGGTCTCGAGACACCCCAAGACGCCGTCCGGGGGTCTTTGGCGACGCACGATGCGTTTTAAACTGCCCCGGGAGGCCCCCAAAACGCCCCAAGAGGCCTTCAAGATGCCGCCCAAGAGGGCCCCGAGAGGGCAGAATCGTAGATTACCATTGTTTTTGTTTTAAAATGTTTTTTTGTACTCTCGTTGTTTCGTGTTTCTGGCGCTAAAGAACCGCCTAAGAGGCTCCCAAAACCATTCCAAGACTGCCGAAGAGGCCCCCAAAAGGGCCCCAAGACGGCCCAAGAGAGCCTCGAGATGGCCCCAGAGCCGCCCAAGACGGCGCAAGAGGGACCCAAGAAGGCCCCAAGAGGAGCCCAAGAGAGGGAACGCGAACTGAAAGATCAAGCTCTCCGCCCCAAGATGCCCCCTAGAGGCCCCAAGATTCCCCCAGGAAGCCCCCAAGAGGCACCAAGAGGCCCTCAAGAGGCCCCAAGAGGCCCCCAAAAAGCTCAACAGAGGCTCCAAGAGGCCCCAAGGCGGCACACAAAATGCTTCAAAACTCTTTCTAAGAGGCCCCCGAAGACATGCCAAGAAGGTCCCATGACGACTTCAAGAAGCAGCCCAGGATGCTCCGAGGAGAACCCAGGAAGCTAGCTAGAACTTGAGCGCGCGCGAAGCGCGCGCGATGGTTCTATGTTGTATGTATGTCTGCACGCCTGTCTGTCTGTATGTATGTATGACTGTGTGCATAAACATACATCTAACTGTCTGACTGACTGTTTGTCTGTATGTATGTATGGGTGTATGTTTGTGTATACATACATGTGTGCATATGTGTATGTCTGCCTGTCCGTCTGTCTGTCTGTCTGTCTGTAAGTCTGTATGTGTGTATGTATGTATTTCTGGGTGTCTATCTGCCTGTGCGTATTTATCGATGTATGTATGTACGTATATGCCGATATGTGTGTCTGTCTGTCTGCCTGTGTATGTATGTGTGTGAATGTATGTACGTATATACATATGTACGTATGGTTATGTGTATGTATGTTTGTATGTATGTCTGTATATATGTGTTCCTGTCTATCTGTCTGTCTGTGTATATATATATATGCGTATGCCTGCCTGTATGTCTGCCTGCCTGTATGCATGTATGTGTGTATGCATGTATGTATATATATATACATACATATGTGCGTATGTACGTCTGTCTGTCTGCATGTAGGATGTTTGTGTGCATGTATGTCTGCCTGTCTGTCTGTCTGTCTGTCTGTATGTGTGTATGCGTGCATATGTGTCTGTCTGTCTGTCTGTATGTATTTAGGTGTGTCTGTATATACGCATACATGCATGTACCTATATATGTACATATATGCACATATACGTATGTATTATATGTCTGCCTGTCTGTCTGTATGCATGTATGTATGTCTGCCTGTCTGTCCGTCTGTCTGTATGTATGTCTGTATGTATATACTCATATATATATATGTCTGTCTATGTGTCCGTCTGTCGGTCTGTCTTTACGCATGTATGTATATGTTCTTGGACATCTGCGCGCATGAATGCATTTATGTAAGTGTGTATGTATGTATGTATGCCTTTCTGTCGGTGTGTTTGTCTGTATGTATGGTTGTATGTATGTACGTATGTATGCCTGACTGCCTGCCTGTCTGTCTGTATGTATGTATGCATGTGTACATCTATACTGATATATGGTAAGGACCGCTCTTGTGATCTAGCCTTCCTTTTCTTTCGATAACTGCAATGGCATGAGGAACTGATCCAACGCAATCGTTCATTTCCTGCTGGGTGGCCGTCACATCAATATGTTTGAAGAGATCCACATGAGCGACCATAGCCATACCAATCTATCATCTCTTAGTGGCCGGCCTTGAATTCAAATCCTTTCGTGGAGATCTACAATCGGAAGGGCGCAGAAAAAAAACGCAGCCGACGAAAAAAACACAAAGAAGACACAATAGACAATTTGGGGGGCCAAAAAAGTTGTCTATTTAATTGCGAAGCTGTTTTTTAATTAAACAGAAAAACGCAAACAAGACAAGCTGGGAGCAAGGAACCCTTGTGTTTTTACCAGGTCTCATTGCCCGACAATCCAAAACACAGCTTTTCCGGTTCCTCTGGTTGTCTTCCTTGTCTTTTTTTGTTTGTTCATGTGTTTTTGCCGGCGCCGCGTTTTCTCTCCTTCCTTGCTTGCCAGTCTCCCAGCGGGACAGGATTGGGGAGAGACAAAAAGACAATTTGGGGGACCAAAAACGCTTTTTTGTTTTATTATAAAACTGTTGTTGACATTAAAACCAAAAACGCACCAACAACAACAACAAAACACAGCTGGGAGCAAGGAGGCCTTGTGTTTTTACTGAGTCCCCTTGCTCCCAACTTGTTGTTTTGTGTGTGTGTGTGTGTTTTGGTTGTTCTATCTTACAGAACTACGCAACAATTAAGAAGCAGCGTGTTTGGTCCCCCAGATTGTCTTTTTCGGTTTCGTGTATATATTTATACACACATATATATACATATGTATATATGTACACATACATATATATATATATATATATATAGATTGTCTTGTTTCATCGGCTGCGTTGTTCTTCCCCAGCTGTCGCGCCTGCCGTCCATGGCCAATTTGGGTCCCCCTGCCCGATCCGACAAGAGAACGAAGTTGGCAAGTTTGGCTGGGAGATAGCATGTGGGTCGCAAGTGGCTAAGTACTTGCACACCACTGCGAACTGGGTTGCGTACCACGGCGTACCGCAACGACGTGGGTTGCACACCACAACGAATTTGGTTGGTTCCACCATGTAAAGTTCCTTTGTTAGGGCAACCCAATCGCTCATCCAAGCACGCGTGACATTGCGGCCACAAATGATCCCGGGACACGCGCCGACGCGCGAAAAGTGCCACGCACGGACATGACCTGCCACAAACGGGCCAGACACGCCTCACACGTGCGGAGCTGCGGCCACTAATGCGCCGAGTGGCACACGCGGGCAGAACGTGCCACAAAGGGGCATGCACACGCCGCACGCGTGCGGAGTTGCGGCCACCAATGAGCCAAGTGCAACGCGCCACAAAGGGGCACGCACACGCCACCCACGCGCGGAGTTGCGGCCACCAATGAACCAAGTGCAACGTACAACAAAGGGGCACGCACACGCCTCGCGCGCGCGGAGCTGCGGCCACCACTGAGCCAGGCGCAGCCTGCCACCAATGGGGCAGACACACGCCTCACACGTCGTGCGGAGTTGCGGCCACCATTGAGCCAAGTGCAACTTGCCACAAAGGGGCTGGCACATGCCACCCACGTGCGGAGTTGCGGCCACCTTTGAGCCAAGTGTCACGTGCCACAAACGGGCAACACACACACACACTCTTCGCGCGTGCGGAATTGCGGCCACCATTGAGCCAAGTGCAACGTGCCACAAACGGGCAACACACACTCCTCGCACGTGCGGAGTTGCGGCCACCATTGAGCCAAGTGCAGCGTGCCACAAAGGGGCAGACACACGCCTCACACGTGCCCGCCGCAGAGACAAGCGCGCGATGGCGCCCGCACGCACGGCCACGGTAGGCGGGCAAACGCCGCACCGCAGGGGCCCCCTCGCCGAACATGGCGGGACCCCGCCCCTCCAACCGAGCGCGCGTGGCGCCCCTCCCAGCCCTGGGCGGCGCACGCGCCCCCTCGCGCGCTCGCCCACGCAAGCAGGGCGGATTACGCGACGCTTCGCGTCCGTCGCTTGGGCTTGCGTCGCCCTGCGCCGCTGCGCGCCGGTTGGGCTTGCGTTCGCCCAAGTATGGGGGCCGGGGTGGGGGGCGCCCGCCCCCTCTGTTTCTCGCCCGCGATCAACGTTGCACGACGATCGCCCACAGAAACAATAATAATAACCTGACGATCGAACCGCTTCGGCGCTCAGCCTGACTGAACACCTGGGCCATGATTCGTCGGCGCGGGGCTGCGTCGCCCCGAACGGCTTCTGCGCGCGGGGTCGCGGCGGCGCGGCGGCTCGGAGCCCCGCGGGAGATTGCGCGTTTTGTTTTTTTGAACTGGAGTATTGCTCCCGCCCCCGCCCGCCCGCCCGCCGGCCCCCCCTTCCTTCCACTTCTCGTGCGCGCACGTAGTAGTGCGCGGCGCGCTGGCGGGCGAATTCTGACCAATCAGGCTTCGACGTCTCTCGCAAGGCGCTGGGAAAATAATGGGCCTGCTCGGACCATTCAGGACGGGCGAGGCAAGGCGGGCAGCGAACGAAATCGATGTAGGCCAGACGGGGCGAAGAGGGCGAGTGGGAGGAGGAGGAGGAGGAGGAGGCGGAGGAGGAGGAGGCGGAGGAGGAGGAGGAGGAGGAGGAGGAAGAGGGGGGGGAAGGGCGAGGGACGCATTTCAAACGCAACTCGCGGGGGCCCGAGGCTGGGGAATTGCGTCTGGGGGGGTGGGGGGGAGGGGCCAAGGCGGGCACGCGTCGGACGCAACGCTTGGGGACCAGGGACCAGGGGCCGCGGAGCTGCATAGCGTTGGGGGGAGGGGGAAAGAGGAGGATGGGGGGAGGCAGGGGAATCGATGGAGGGGACGGGGGCCGAAGAGCGGAGCGGGAGTGGGGAGGGGGTCAGGAGAAGGGGGGGGGGAAGAGGGGGGAGGAGGTGGAGGAGGAAGCGGGCCTGGGTGCGAGCAGGAGGGGGAGGGGGAGCAGGACAGGGATGACGATTCAAGCGGGCAGCGACGAAGGGAGGGGCGCTTCCCTGTAGACGCATCTACGCTCATCCAAGTCACAGCTAAGGGCATGTCGTGGTGGGCTTCCATGGCTATAACCTGAGACGGTCCGTCCGATGCGCTTACGCGCAGCAGGCCCGATGCCCGATGTTCCCGCAGGGGTCCCGTGGAACACTCGGTCGACGGCAAGACGACGATCTTAATAATGATGTCCAGGACGACAGCACTGTTGGTTTGCCGGTCTGCTGGTCGGTCTGCTGGTCGGTGGTCGGTGGGGTCGTCGTTTGGTCGTTGTGGGGGTCCGTGGGTCTGCCGGTCGGTCGGTGGTAGTCGGTCTGCTGGTCTGCTAGTCGGCGGTCGGTGGTCTGTCTGCTGGTCTGATGGTTTGTCGGCCGGTGCGGCGTTCGGCCTGTTGGCTTGCCGGTCTGCTGGTCGGTCTGCTGGTCGGTGGTCGGTGGGGTCGTCGTTTGGTCGTTGATGCTCATGTTTGTGGTGATGAGGAAACGACGGGGGTCATGGTGATTCGGATGACGGCGTTGATGGTGATGGTGATGCTGATGGTGGTGTTGATGGCGATGATGATGGCAATGCCGATGGTGACCATGATTCTGATGACGTAGGCGATTTTGGCGATGGTACCGACCCCGCCCCAGACAGCTCAACATGGCACCCATGCGGCCCCAACAACGCCCACACAAGTCTCCAAATAATCACCGAGAGGCCTCCAGGACGGACAAAGGTGTGTCCAACATGTTTTCATCGATGATGATACTGATCATGATTACGACGATAGGGAGGATTACGGTGATGCTGATGATGAGGATGCGGATGATGATGATGCTGATGATGTTGATGGTGATGTTGATGATGATGTTGCTACTGATGATGCTGATGATGATGATGGTGATGGTGACGATGCTGATTGCTCCGATAATGCTGCTGATGATGCTGGTAATCAGGACGATGATAAGTGTGTTGTTGATGGTTGCTGTGATGGTTATGATGGCGATGGGGTTGATGACGGTGATAATGGCTATGATGATGGTTCTGGTGATGGAGTTGGAGGGATGGTGATGATTATGATGATGCGGTGCATGATGTTCATGACCATGGTGATGGTGCTAATTTTAATCAGTAGGACGACGATGAAAACGGTGATGGTGACGAGGCTGAAAATTCGGCTGTTGATGGGAATGGTGATGTTGTCGATGATGTTGACGATCACCATCATGACAATTGATGATACTTCTGATTCTTTCGCCCCAATCTGGCGGCCGCCTTTGAAGCTGTTGAAGAGCCCCAAACATGCCACCCGAGAGAACCCCAACCAGAGCCCCAGAGGCCACCCAGATGGTTCCAAGAGCCGTTAACAGCCTCCAGGAATTACCCAAGCGATCTCGAACAGTCTAGCCTGACGGATTTCGGAGGCGTCAAGCGCGCCAAGAGCATCCTAAAACAGCCTGCGATGCCCCCTCGGGGCCCCAAAAGCAGCACCAAAAGGCCCACAGGAGGCCTCCAAGCTGCGCCAGAGAGGCTTCCAAGGGGCCCAACAGGACGTTCAAATCGTGCCATCACCAATGGGCCCATGGGGGAATCCAGGTTCCGAAGAACTCGCCGTTCCCCCTCGATGGGCCTGCCTCCGAGACCTCCAGGGGGCCCCGTTCGGACGACCCAGGGGCCTCTCGAACTGACGGGGCCCCGGGAGAGTTTGAGACGGATTCCAGGGCCCCCCCCCCCCCCCCCCCCCCCCGAACGCCTCCGAAGGGGCCTCCTCCTCCTCCTCCTCCTCCTCCTCCTCCTCCTCCTCCTCCTCCTCCTCCTCCTCCTCCTCCTCCTCCCCCCTCCTCTTCCTCCCCCCTCCTCTTCCTCCTCCTCCTCCTCCTCCTCCTCCTCCTCCTCCTCCTCCGCCCCCGAGGCGCGCAGTCGGCCGGCTGTTCTGGGAGGCCTCTCCGGGAACAAGTGGGCCGACCACGGGGGCGGTGGCGATGTTGATGCGAAGTCTGGTGATGAGGAAGATGATGCGTAAGACAATGACAGCGGCGATGCGCCATATTGGCGTGTCGGAGTTGATGAGGGTGGTGGCTGGTGTGGGAATGAGCATGGTGTTTCGGATGGGGATGATGCTGATGTTGCTGCTGATGGCGAGGACGATGATGGCGGCGACGATGACGACGACGATGATGGTGATGGTGATGGTGATGGTGATGATGATGGTGATGAGGATGATGGCGACATTGATGATGATGATGATGATGATGATGATGATGAGGATGAGGATGAGGATGAGGATGAGGATGAGGATGAGGATGAGGATGAGGATGAGGATGAGGATGAGGATGAGGATGCTGATGATGATGATGATGATGATGATGATGATGATGATGATGATGATGATTAAGATGATTAAGATGATGACGATGATGACGACGATGATAGTGGTGATTGTGATGGTGGTGGTGGTGATGGTGATGATGCTGATACTCATGATGATGGTGGTGGTGGTGATCATACTGAGGACAGTGATCATGATCAGACATATGTAGATGCTTATATATACACACATATATAGATTTTATGTATCTGCGCATCGAAAATCCGACTGGGTTCCCAGGGCATCGGTTCCCCAGGCGATGGATGCGGACAGATTCCCGCCCCGCGCAGCACGAGGCACCGCGGAAGGGCCGGAGGCGGCCGAGGGCAGGCAAGCCAACGGCGCGGCACGGTGCCGTGGCGGTCGGGGCTCCCCCGCCGCGGCGGCCGCGGGCTCACGACGGCCTGCGACCCGCACCCCGCGCTCCTGGGCCCCCTGTTCCCCCCCTCTGGACTGTCCTCCTGCTCCCCGTGCCCCTCCCCCTTCCTCCTCCTCCTCCTCCGCCTCCGCCTCCTCCTCCTCCTCCGCCTCCTCCCGTCTCCTCCTCCCGTCTCCTCCCGCCTCCTCCCGCCTCCTCCTCCTCCTCCTCCTCCTCCTCATCCTCCTCCTCCTCCCCCCCCCCCCCCTCCTCTTCCTCCCCCCTCCTCTTCCTCTTCCTCCTCTTCCTCCTCCTCCTCCTCCCTCATCATTCATCATCATCATCATCATCCCCATGCTGCTCCTTCCCCCTCCGCCTCCTCCTCCTCCTCCTCCTCTTCCTCCTCCCCGTGCTTTTCCTTCCCCTCCGCCTCCTCCCAGGTGCCGTCCTCCGCTCGGGCCCAGCGGCGTCACGTGGTCAGGGCTGCGCTCGCGCTCGCGCAGGGGCCCCGAGCAGGTGCCCGCCCGGCACGTCGCGCCCCGCCCTGCCTCGCACGGGCGCCGCATTTGCTTTCGGTCCCTCCCTCCGGCTCTTCCCGAGGTGGGCCCGCGCGCGGACGCGCGCGCGCCCCCCGCGGGCACCGCCCGCCTCGGCGGCGCTCGCCTCCTTCGCCGAGGAGGGCCCCGCGCGGCGCCCCCCGCGCGCGCCTCCCCCGCCGCGGGGGACGGGGGCGGCTCCTCGGCCGAAGCCCGTGTCGTCTTGACCCCTCGGCTGGTCCCTCCGTGGTGTTCCTCGGCGTGCCTCCCTGGCCGCCCCTTCCCCGGAGGAGGGGACGCGGGGACCGGCCAAGACGTCGCAGGAGGGTGTTCTGCTGCTCGCCGTTTGGGCCAGAGCGCGCGTGATGCCCCCCCACCCTCCCCCCCCCTCGGTGCGCCCCCTCCGTGCGCCCCCGGCACTGCCGCAGCATTTCCTGCGCCGCAGTGTGGGGTGGGGGGTGGGGGGGCGCTGCGTTATGACCCTTCCCGCCCCCCCCCCGCCCCCCTCCCCCATAACGCCCTTTATGGCCGCGGATGAAAATACGCGCTCCACCTCCCATGCCGTCCATTCCTCGAGGGAAGGAACATGGGGACCGTGACCAAGAAGTCGCAGCATCTGGTCGATGTCGATGTTGGTCCTGGTCCACTTGGGTCGTCGCCCAGTTCGCCAGGACGATCCACGGAATGGCGTTGACCGAGATCGACGGTGACCAAGATCGACACGACTTTTCCACGTTCAGTCTGGGTCATGGTCCCCGTCCCCCCCCCACTGCCGTCCCTTCCCGCCCCCCCTTCTGCAGGATATGTTCGTGCCGTGTCGGCGCGAGGGCTGCGACGGCTGAGCGCCAGCGCGGCCGCTGGAAGGCGGAACGCCTCCAGTGGCCCCAGAATCGGCTGACATCGAACGGCCTGGGGCATCCGGAGGCCGCGATCGTCGAAGGTTGAATCATCCAGGCGGTGCCAGACACCAGCGCCGAAGTCGCCACGACACGAACCCGCTGCACTCCTTCCACCCCTTCTCCCTCCGTGTTGTACCCCCTCCCTCCCTCCCTCCTCGTCCTCATTCGCACCTGCGCACACCCCCGTCAACGATGCCCGCTGGCGTTTTTTCGTCGACACCCGAGCTCCGAGTTCCGAGTTCCTTGGCATCTGCTCCCCCCCTCCTCCCCGCACCCCCTCCCACCCTCTTTTGGGTCTCGGCTCCTTCGCCTCCTCCTCCCCTCCTCACATCCTTGACCTCCTCCGCCTCCCTCGCCGCATCCCTCACGTCCTACGCTTCCTTCGTGCCTCGGCCTCGTCTCTCGACTCCCCAGCACCTTCTCCCTGCTCCCCTCCCCCCCTGCTACTCCCGGTGCCGCTGCCTTTTGCTCCTGCTACCTGTCCTTCCTCCACTGCCTTGGCATTGTCACTATCGTCCTCCCCCCTTCATCTTCGTCATCAGTTTTCTCGGCTTCCTCCCCTTTTTGGTTGTTGTCATTATTCTTGTCCTCCTCCTCTCTGTCCTTCCCCAACCCTCCTGCTTTGGGTTCCCACCCTGAGAAGAGCGTTGCTCGCGCGTCGCCTTCTCCTCTTCCTCCCTCCTCTTGTCCTTGCATCCTGTTCGCAGGTTTCCTACTGCGCAGTGACGGCCAACTGCGAAACCGTCGCCAATGCCGGGAGTTCTTGGGAGGTCCAGCGGAGTGGGGCCCCGCGCAAGTCCACAGTGGCCCTCGCGGTTCCTTTTGGGCCTGCCGACTGCGCAGGTCGAGCCAGGCTCCCAAATGGCGCACAGGCAGGTTAGGCGGCTGAAAGTACGCCAAGCGCGTCTGCGATGCAGTCCGCCGAACGCGTTGCCGTCTGAAGGGGAGGAGGAGGGGGGGGAGTAACCCCATTGGGATAGCACGCGCTGGTGCACAGAAGACGCCCACTGCAAATTCGGGCGCCCCCGCCTGTTATGACCGACACCACTTTTTGGGACTTCGCGCTACGAGCTCGCACACAAGCTTTCGTAACAAATTACAAATGATTCCCAGGTAAGTCTGCGATTCTGTCGTACAGTTTGAATTATTTGCGAATTAGGTCTGCGTTCAATGGTTGTGTGTTTCGCGCTCCCTCGTACCTCTTTGTTGGACACCCTGGAGTAATACGCATGTGGCACTTTCAATATTTTCTGAAACATGCTGCTTGGAGAAAGCATCACATCGATTACGATCCGCTTGAAGTAACCAGAGAGTTTTCAGTTTGCATAGCAGCTTCGGGAGCACAATAGCTTGAAATACATGTATCTTGCTGTTGGAATACCCGTTTCGCTTCTCCAATTATTTTGGTATTTTCCGGCCCGCTGTCCACTTTCGCAAAGCAATCCGTCCGGATAAACGCTTTATTCCACGAGTTCCAAACACCACTGACGGGGCGTACACACAACCACTGACTGCTCCGCATTTGCATCAAAATTGTGTTCGTCCAGTTTAACTCAAATCCGCATTTCTGATCAAGAAGTGCTTGTGATTTCCCGGCGATCGCGCTGACAAGGACCGTGTCGTCCGCATACCAGAGATCATTTCATATTATGTAACCGGGCTCTGTGAACTTTGCTGCAATGTCGCGGTAAGCGTTATCAGTATCGAACATCATCACGGTCTGCACAATAGTGAACAAGTAAGGAGACAAAGAGCCTTGTGGGATCCTCGCTTTTTGGTCTCGTAGGGAAGAATCGCCGCCAGGGTCTGAGATAGAAATTTCAATCGACATATTCTTGAATCATTTCTACCATCTAAGTTGGGATACCAAACCTGGCAAGAGCTGAAAACATCGCGTCGTGTTTGATGCGGTCAAATGCTCTTGCCCAGTCTAACGGTACTGCCGGAGCGCCTGGACCTTTTGCAGCGTACGCAGCATCGAAAATCCACGCGCCATTGAGATTGCATCAAGCGTGCTGCATTTGGGACGGAATCCAAATTGAGCCGGCCTGATACGCTATTCCGCCCCGCCGTATTGAATACGTTTCTGCAGCATCCATGCCAATACGTTTATGCAGCATCCATGCCAATTGGGCGATAGTTTTCACGTAATCCCGCGTCGCCTTTGTTGTATGATAATACCACTGCAATTTTCCACTCTTTCGTCAAGCGTTTCTGTCTCCAGCATTCCACGCATAGGGATAAAAGAGGCGAGCATGCATCTTCCGACGCAGAAAGAGGTATCCGAAATTCTGGATTTATACCGTCAGTACCTTGTGCTATCGCGGTTGCGAGCGCCCGTAACATTTTTGTTGTATTCTTCCATGGTGAATTCGTTTGTGTTGATCGGCGACGCACTTCCCATACTAAGTTTCCCATCAGGCACCTTCTCCAGAAACTTGATTTCCCATTGTTCGTGTTCAAAGTAATATGCTAAGACTGCGCAGTTGTCGTTTTCGTTCGGGTGTTCTTCGGAGGTGCAGCGGAGTGAAGTTGTACGCAGACCCAGCCGGAACCTCGCGGTTCACTGGGGAGTTTGCTAATTTTGCAGGCGTCGCCCTTTTAGGGAGTTTTTGGCAAGTCCAGCAGAGTGAGGTTGCACGCAGACCCAGCCAGGACCTCGCGGCTCACTCGGAGGCTGCCGACTGCGCAGTTGTCGCCACTCTCGGGAGCTCCTGAGAGGCTCAGCGCAGTGCAGGCCCAGACGAGACCTCGACGAGACCTCACGGCTCCCTCAGGGGCTGCCACCTGCGCAATTATCGCCACCGTCGGGAGTTTCTGGGAGGCGCAACGGCGGGAAGTTGTCCACGGACCCATCCGGGACCTCGCGGCTCCCTGGGGGTCTTGCCAGTTGCGGGACCGTCGTCATTTTCGGGGGTTTTTGGGAGGTCAAGCGGAGTGAGGTTGCACGCAGACCTAGCCAGGACCTCGTGGTTCCCCGGGTGCTTGCCAACAGTTGTTTTTCGGGAGTTCTTGGGAGGCTCAGAGGAGAGGAGTTGCACGCAGACCCAGTTTTGTATTCGCGGCTTCCTGGGGGGCTGCAAATTGTGCAGTTGTCGCTACTTTCGGGAGCCCCCGGGAGGTCCAGCAGAGTGGAGTTGTTCGCAGACCCTGCCAGAACTTCGCGGTTGTTTGAAGGGTCTTGTCAAATTCGCAATTGACGCCGCTTTCGGGGAAACGTAAGGCCCAAGTTCGCTGGAATTTGCGTTCGCCGACGCTTTTTGACGGGCCCGTCCTGTTTCCGTGGGATGTTTGCAGCGGGAGTTCGCGTCAAATGTCGATTGGGTCTCGTCATTTTCTGAATGGCCCCGTCAGGCCAACTCGAGTCCTCTAAACTCGAGCCTGACGTCACCAAGACACTTTCGGAAGCTCCTGGGAGGTCAGGCGGAGTGCATGTGTACGCCGTCGCAGACCCAGCCAGGACCTCGCGGCTCCCTGGGGGTCTCGCATGATCTTGCCAATTGCGCAGTTGTCGCCACTTCCGGGAGCGTCTGGGAGGTACAGCGAAGTGGAGTTGCACGCAGAGACGTCGCGGTTCTTTGGGGGGTTGCCAAGTTCGTAATTGACGTCATTTTCGGCAGCTCCTTTCAAGCAAGATACTTGCTGAACTCGGACCCTAATTTGCATCAGCGGTTCAATCGTTTCCAACCTCTTCGTTCCTTTGCCCACGTACTTCCCTCCGACGAGACCTCGCGGCCCCCTGAGGGGTGACACCTGCACAATTGTCATTATGTTCGGGGACTTTTTGGGAGGTCCTTCGGGGTGGGAGGGCATGCAGGTCCAGACCAGAGCTCGCGCTCCCTCGGTGCTGCCAACTGCGAAAATGTCGCCGCGGTTATGTGGCTCACAGCGATGGCCCATTTGGATCGCAGGCCCGGACGAGATCTTGCGGTTCTCTGGGGCGCTGTCTTGGTGCTCCAAGCGTGCAAGAGCGCTGCATATTTCCCAATGTGTTATGTGGTATGGAGCATTCATATTGACGTTGCAGGGATTCAGAAAGCTGCGGGGACGTGTCGGGTAGATGTCTCACTCAGTATCCGTTTTGGCTCAAGCACGGTGTTCGTTACTGTTTGCTGGTTGCCTTTCGTTATCCCTACCTTCTTGTGTTTGTGCATCTTGTATTTGTACGTCCCCACGTTCCTCAGCCATGTGGCGCGCTGTGTTTGCCGCGTTGCTGTTGGGAGAACGTCTAGAGGTTTCACAAGCTCTGACAGCAAGGACGGACAGCCTCCTCCGCAGCAACATGTTCTTAGACTTGGACCATGCTGAGCGGTTCGAGTCACGTTTGTCCATGGAATTAGGTGGTACTTCGGAGCTGGAAAGTCAAGACATGCTGGGCACGACTCTGTCCCCCGAAGACCGCGTCAGGGCCCATAGTCGAAAGTTCGAGGCGGAGTTCGTCGTGGAGTTGAACATGACCGAAGCGCACGAGCGTGGCGCCAAGTTGGGGATCATCATCAACAGGAACGCCGACTTCGAGGCTGCAACGATATACAAAGTGCAGAAAGTTGGCCTGATTGAGGAGTGGAACAGAGCCCACCCAGGAAAGGACGTGCACGTCGGCGACGAGCTTGTCCAAGTCAACGACATCCAGTGGCACGCAAACACGGAGACGTTCATGAACCGCATTAAGGGCCAATTTATTGCCGGCCGCAAGCAAGTGGCTGGGGCGAGTGACATATTGAGGCTCTACATCCAAAGGCCAAGGGTTTGGAAGCATAAGCGTTTCGCGCTGCAGCGTGAGGACATGCACGATAAGAAATACGCAGCGGATTTTGTCGCTGAGATCCCCATGGATGGAATCGTGGACGACATGAAATACGCAGCGGAGATCGTCGGAAACACCACTCTCACGTCCATGGACGAACTAATGGGTTGGACGCTGGGCTTCAAGAGGCACGGCGACTGGCAGCCAGCAACGATCCGCAAGATTGAGCGCCATGGCGCCCTGGCCAAGTGGAACAAGAAGAACGCGGACAAGCTGATTCTGGAAGGGGACGAGATCCTCAAGGTCGACAAGGTCCTCTGGCAGCACAACTCTACGACCTTCATGAAGAATCTTAAGCGCCATTTCAAGGCTACCCTGGAGGCGAATTCGAGCGACCCGTCTTGGTCGGTGGTACTTGCTGTTCGAAGGCCGCGGCCCGTCCAGAATGCTTTCGACGAAACACATCCTGTGCAGGAGATCGTGTCGTGGAGCAGGACGAACAACAGTGTCGCGCTCCGTTTCAATAAGTCAGGTGAGACCAATCTTCTTGGCTGGAAGCTCTCCCCTGGTGCCAAGTCCGCCACTGGTGTCGACGGGCCTGTTCTTGTCGAGAAGGTCCGGGGGACGGGCCTGGTGGCCGAATGGAACGCCGAGAACCCAGACAAGGCGATCAACTCCAGCGACCAGATCGTCACGCTAAACGGCGTGGCGTGGGACAAGTACGCCAGCGCTCAGGAGTTCTACGACGCTGTTCAGACCGCGCTCACCGCTGCCATCCACGCGGGACCTGCGGGCGACGCTGTCCAGCTCACCCTGGAGAGGCCTGTTCGAAGTGTGCAGCACTACCGCCAGAACATGGAGCATGGGGTTCACACGGTGTATCACGTGCACGCCACGACCACACCTGCTCCTGAGGTCGGAACCGACACAGCAGACCAGCAGGTGCATGCTAAGGACGACTCGGCTGATGTCACCGGCGCCACCGATGATGAGAAGCCAGTCGGTGCCGAGGAGGACTCGGACGGCGTCATCGGTGCCACCGAAGACGATGATAAAGCTGTCGGTGCCGAGGATGACTCTGACGGTGTCATCGGTGCCTCTGAAGATGATGATAAGGCGGCCGGAGCCCAGGAGGACTCGGGCGGTGCCACCAGTGCCTCCGAAGATGATCCTTAGGCAGGCCTCTTGAGCCGTCCTGTGCGATTCCAAGACACGCAAAATCTAGCATGTCTAGAAAGGCGAGCGCGTTCGTATCCGCCACTGAGCTTGCAACGGTTGGTGTAAGTGTGTGTGTGTGTGTGTGTGTTTGTCAGGCCCTTGCTTCGTTCGTCACCTTTCCCCACGCAGTGCTGGCACTCTGTGGGCCCCGGAAACGGCAGGGCCGTTTTTTCACCGTTTCCGAAAAAGTGTCCGTTGAAAATGGAAACGGCAAAAAACGGCGACCGGAAACGGCGAAAAAACGGCTCCAGGATTGGACCCGGAGCCGGAGTCGGTCAAACAACGGCGACGGAAGCGGTGAAAAACGGCGTCGGAACCGGCAACAAGAACGGCAAAACGGAACTGGTAACAAAAGCGGCCCTGTCGTTTCCAGGGCCCACTAAGTGCTGGCACTGTGTGGGTCCCTACTTGAGTTCTGAGGCAACTGGGCTCGGTGTTCCTTAGTTGTTTTGCAGTTCGCCTTTGGTTTTCCTTAGGGTTTCGATGGGAAATCGAAGTGTAACTTATGGGAAAAAGGGGCCCCGTTCCTTATTTAGGGTTCCTTAGGTCAACGCCCCGACTGTACTTGTGTTCTGAGGCAGCTGGGCCCAGGTGTCGGTTCGGCCGGCTCGTCGCCGAGCGTCGCCGCCGTCGCTGCCGGGCCCCAGCGGCGGTCCGGCCGGGTCGTCGCCGCCCGTCTCCACGTCGCTCGGCATTGTTTTTGTTTGTTGCTGTGTTGTATGGCCTCGTATTGCTTCGCACTTGTTTTTGTAGTGTGTTGCATTTCTTTGCGTTGCTTTGCATCGCTTTGCATTGCACTGCGTTGCGTTGCATTGCTTTGCGCTGTTCTGCATGGCTTCGCGTTGCTCTGCATCGCCTAGCATCGTTTTGCATTGCTTTGCACTGCGTTGCATGCCGTTAGCATTGCGTTCCACTGCATTGCATTGTTTTGCATAACGTTTCATTGCTTCACGCTTCTTCGCGTTGCATTGCATTGCGTTGCGTTGCGTTGCGTTGCGTTGCAATGCTCTTCGCCTCATAGATGTACCACGCGCATTGCACCAACTAGATTGTACCGCATTGGTTGCGCCACCTAGACAGCACCGCACAGGCTGCAAGAAACCACTCGTTTTGGGGGTCCACGCTGGCTGACGGGGGTCGGCCTAAACGGTGTTTGGACGATTTCGTGGGCCGTTTTCGTTTCGATTTCGTTTTGCCGCAGGGGCGGATTGGAGACAAAACGAGGGAATACGAGAACGACACGAACACGACATGCACTCTTTCGGCCGAGCCCTGCTGGCCGACACCGCGTCTTACCCTGCCGCGCCCAGCCCAACATGCGCTCAGCTTGCTGGCCAAGTTCCTGCGCTGTTTGCCTTTCCCATCGGAACTCGCCTCCCCTTCCTCCTCCTCCTCCTCCTCCTCCTCCTCCTCCTCCTCCTCCTCCTCCTCCTCCTCCTCCTCCCTCCTCCCCCTCCCCTCCTCCTCTCCTCCTCCTCCCCCCCTTCCCCCCCCTCCCCTCCCCCCTCCTCCTCCTCCTCCTCCTCCTCCTCCTCCTCCTCCTCCTCCTCCTCCTCCTCCTCCTCCTCCTCCTCCTCCTCCTCCTCCCTCCTCCTCCTCCTCTCCTGCTCCTCCTCTTCTCCTCCTCCTCCTCCTCCTCCCCTTCCTCCTCCTCCTCCTCCTCCTCCTCCTCCTCCTCCTCCTCCTCCTCCTCCTCTCCTCCTCCTCCTCCTCCTCCTCCTCCTCCTCCCCTCCTCTCAAGCACATGTGGCTCCGTCCCATCCGTAGGCCCCCTTTTTGGCTTATCGCTGGGTCATGGCCGCGCCCTGCGCCTCCGCGTGGCGCTTGAGGGACTCCAAGGCTGTCCGCACATTTGGCGGTTCTTTTCTTGACGACGAAGCAGGGCAAATCAAAGTGCATAGTGTGCTACGGGAGGTCGGCCCTCGGATGGCTGGCCAGTCGCCACGCAGGCGGTCGCACGCCGAGCGGCGGGCCGCCCAACGGCGCGCTCGCGATTCTTGCGAGCGTGGGCTGCTGCGGGCACTGCGCGGCCAGGCCGCCTTTCCCGTCACCCGCAAGCCGCTGCACCCGATGGTGACCACGCTGCTGCACAGCGGGGAGACGGGACCAGCCCTGAACATGTCGAAGGGCAACGCGTGGTACTCCCCAGTCTTGGAGCGCTTCGTGGGCAAGGCATGCGCGGCGGAGGTGAGCGACGCCCTGGGCCTGCGCGCGGACGCGGAAGTCTTCGATCCTGCCGCAGGGTATTGGGAGCAGCTGCCCACGCCAGGAGCGCTTTGCACCTGCGGTGCGCTTGTTTTTTCAGGCTGCAGGAGACGACAATTCAGTTTGCCAGGGTGGGCGGTCAATGCGCGGACATGTATTTCCAAGAATCAAGTCAGAACACAAGTTTCCAATAATGCCGATGGGCCAGGGGGCACAGGTCAACAAGGCCCCTCGGGCGCCGTGGCCGCGCGCCGCGCAGGCGAAAGGGGCACTGGTCATCAAGACCCCTCGGACGCCGTGGCCGCGCGCCGCACAGGCGAAAGGGGCACTGATCATCAAGACCCCTCGGGCGCATCGGCCGAGCGCCGCTCAGCAGGAGCAGCGTGGTGGGAAGCTCGTGCTCTTGTCTCTCGTGCCTGGCTTGCAGATCCAGCCCCTGTTAAGGGCACTGCCGAACAGCCGCAGGTGCCGACCGAGAGGGCCACCGTGGCGGTTCGGCCTGCGACAGCTGCCCCAAGCTGGGAGTCCTGCGAACGCCGTGCGAGACTTCTACGCGATGCTGATATCCTTCGTGGTGGGCCGTCAACCTCGTTCATTCCCAGTGGCACGGCTGTGATTGATTGGTCCAGTGCTGCCCATCAGAGCGAAGAGCAAGACCGCAAACAAATGTGAGTTTATCAGTGCATTTGGTGTTTCACGTGCTTGTGAACCATTTACTTACTCGTTTGCAACCATCCACGTTCTTTGTTCTGGCTGTACGGAGGGAAGGAGTGTAATTTCTGCACGCGCGCAATTTTCTGTATCTGAAGTGAGGTACTCATAAGAGGTGTCGTCCTGTTCCTCGTGCTTCTCGGTCCAATCTGCCAGTTCTGGGGCGTGGTGTCCACCTACCATGGCGACCTCATGTGCTTCCCGTTCCTCGCGTGCCTGGAGAAGCTCAGGGGTGGCGGCAGGTGCTATAATCATATCGCTACGCGATCAGGCAGAGTCTCCAGAGTCTCCTCCTCCTCCCCCTCCTTTTCCTCCTCCTCCTCTTCCTCCTCCTCCTCCAGCACAGGGTCCCAGTGCGGAGGATCCGTGGAGCCCCTCCTCTTCCGTGACAGGGGGGCGCCCGCGGTCCCCCCCCCATACGGCGACGGCTTCCAAAACGAGGCCTCGGCATCGCTCGGACGTGTGCATTTTCTTTCGGCCAGGACCGTCGAGTAGTAGTATTGTTCAGAAGGCGAAAACCCACCCCCACCCCGAGTCCCGACGCCCATCCCCGAGCCGGCGATTCAAGGGGCTGGGACTGGGGGTGGTGGTGGGTTTCTCAATTTCCTGGACCCCGAAAACCCACCCCCACCCCCAGTCCCGTCTCCTTGAATCGCGGGTTCGGGGATGCAGTCGGGACTGGGGGTGGAGTGGGTTTTCGCCTTCTCAATTGCACTGGCCTCCGGCCAGTGCCGCCGATCCGGGGCGCTTCCGTTGCTGCCGGAAGCGCGCGATGGCGGCCATGACCGGCGACGACGGCGAGCGGCGAGGATGATGAGGAGGATTGGGAATGGAGGCGACGGCGCCCGCGGCCCCCATGGCGATGGCTTTCGACGAGGCCTTGGCATCGCTCGGACGCGTGCATTTTTTCCGGCCGGGGCCATCGAGTAGTATTGAGGGCCGTCTTGCGAAAACAGATACGGAAATTGGAGCATTTACATTGCCCGAGTCGGGATGTTTTCCTATCCGGTCTTTCTGAGGGTCGGGGGCGACATCGGGGGCGGTGTGGTGTATGCGTTTTGTTTCCCCGTTTCCCTGGGGAAACAATGAACGAAGTACACGCCAGGATCACGCATACACTAGGATCCGTAGTCATGAGCAAATTTCAATGCGGGGCCGGAAAAAGCGGCGGTGTATAGAGTCTGGTGGTTCCTCACATGCACGCACGACGTCGGATGACATGTGGCATGGACGTCCGAACGATTGCAAGAGGCCAGGATGACTCCAGCTGGGCTCCAAAGCGGCCGTTGCGGTCGGATCGAGGAATCAGATCGAGGTCGGTTCGGGGTCGATGCCCCAACGTTCTTGGTGTTTGTTGGGTGTTTTTGTGCACCCTGGGGAGGGTACCCCTGGCTGTTTGGTGTGTTTCGGCTGGCGGAAGGTTTCATGTTCTTGAAGGATGCTAGTTTGTCCCAGGTCCGATTGTGTTGCTTCCAAGTTGGACATGATGGCCTTCCGACGGCGTCCACGACGGCCCAACATAGCCTCAAAAACGGCAGCGGTAACACCAAAACGGCCCTAAGAGGCCGTTCGCCAACAAAAACAGCCAGAAGGGCCCCACGAAACCTTCCAGGACGCATCCGGAAGGCTAAAATCATCTACGAGTGATGTTTCGTATAAATTTGGCAATCTCGCTCTTCTGGTCTTGGCGGCATCCAAGGGAACCCAGGAGGCTGTTGACATCGCCCCCAGACGACCCGAGAGGTCCCCACGAACCCCCCACATGACAACCGAAACGCCCCCAAAAGTTCAAGAGGCCCCAGAGAAACCTTCAAGAGGTTCCCAATGAACTCAAAACAGCTTCTCAGAAACCCAAGAGGTTCCCACAGGACATCAAGAGGTCCCGAGTGGCCCCAAGACGCCCCCCAGGCACCCCCCAAAGGCCCCAAGACGCATCCTAAAAGTCCCCAGGAAGTCTGAAGAGGCTCCCGAAAAAAGGTTCCCCAAAAGGCCCCGAACGATCCCATGAGGGCTTGGACACTCAGCAAACAGCGTCGTCAAAAACCGTTCGCCATGTTGATGTTTTATTGGTCCGGTCCCAACGAGGCATGGAAGGATTTCAACAACAAAAAAAAAACAAAAAAAAAAAAAAAAAAAAAAAACGAGCTGACCCGCATCCATAGGCCACAACCTGTTGAAACAACCACCAAAAACGCGTGATTCGTGATTGGTTTATGTTTTTCCTCCTCCACCTCTTCCTCCATGGTTGCGAGTTTTGCAGTCTATTTTCCTGAGGGGAGACGTGTCGTCGTGGCTTCCCAGAAGCGGGTTCCGACCTGCCCGAGGAAACCGCAAGTCAGCTCCAGAATAGGTTGCGCAACCATTCAACGCCACGCCCGCGCGTCGCTGCGGCCTGGCAGCGCAGCTTAGCCAAGCGCGGTGGCGGGATGCGTGGCAGCGCATTTGGATAATATGAAAACGTGCAGTGTTCAATGACTTTGGCTTCTTGGGCCGGTCCCCAAACCAGAGCATCCACGATGCGCACAAGAGAGCTCCAGGACGGTCCACGAGAGCATCTGGTGCCGCGTTGGATCTATAGAGCCCCAATCACGCTGTCGAGGCCTTTTTGAACAGCAAGTTACGCGAATCGCACAGAAAGCGCCCGAGAGCGCCGACGAATCTTGGCCATGGGGGCCCTCCCGAGCACTTGCAACCCCGAGAAATCTGAGGTACCTGAAGACACACTTCACTCAATGCCTGCGGCACAGATGTGGATGTGCGTGTATACCTGTGTGTGTGTGGTTCCACATGCTCAAGCGTCCATACCTCTATTTATCTATCTACACATGCAGTTCCGTGTCAAGATGCAACCCTAAGTCTGTATATTGTGTACACGTATTTATATAAGTATGTATACACATTATATATACACACTTTATATATGCATACACGTATGCGCTGCCGCACGACTCCGCCACTGCCTTCGGGCGGGCGGCAGTGGCGGGGGGGCACCGTGGTGGGGGGGGGCAGGGGAAGGGGCCACGGCCCCCCCCCTTCCCTTTTGACAGTGCCTATGCGCGGCCACGCGCAAAAGGGGGGTATTCGGGCGAAGCGAACTATACACATGCACCGATCCTGGCAAGGCCCGTCCTTGACCCAGGATCGGTGCATATGCCTTCCTGGCCAAGGTAGGAGGGCGTATGCCGATCCTGGGCTCAGGGTTGGGCCTGGCCAGAATCGGTGTATGTGCATAGTTCCCTTTCCTCTAGTATGGGGGAGGGGGGGGAGCCTTTTTGGAAGGCGGCTGCTTGTTAGAAGGCGCGGGCCGAGTCTATAAATGTAAGGCTGGCGCTGTCTAAGAAGCAGCCTCCTTCTAAAAAGCCTTCCCCCCTCCCCTTGCCCCCCT